AATGAAGTTAAGGAAACACTGATGATGGGCTGAAGAAACAATCTTTCCTGTGAGTCATTCTGGTTTGTATTAAAATAGCAAAGTAGATACCAGCTAAGAAATAATATAAGTAAAAGGTGAATGCAATTATTCAAAAAAAAAAAAACCAAACCCTTGCAAATCTCAGTATAGAGTGTAAGTAGCAAGCGAGTTAAGTCTCGGAAAATCCTAAGCAAAAGGCTGTTTCCTTTGGCACTGACTCCTTCATGGTCAAAGCATTTCTCAAAGAAAGTTTCTATCTATACCTTTACAGTAAATAACTTGCATTTTACTCCTCACTGTTAGACTACTCCACTGCTCTGGGGGCTCCCCTTCCACCGGGAATGGCACAATCTAACTGCAAAGTGATTTTGAATGTCTGTCTGTACACACAGATAACTTAAATGCAGCTTTTTTTTTTCTACAAAACACATTGCACGCAGTCTCTGCGGATAAGGACCTCCGTATTGCACCAGCTCTGTGTGTATGTCAAGGTACTTCATAACCAGGGGGTTAACAGCGGGGACTGCAGAGCATTATTCAAAGTACCTTCCACTCAGCTCTGAACGCATCCGCCTTTGATCACAAGTATATCTGCAATTAGTGCCTCATCTTAACATCTCAATAAGCAGTTCAAGCATTCAGAAACAAACATCAGTGGGTCTAACAGCTACTTTAATTCATTTTATAAATAAGCAATTGCGAATTTTGCTCCAAGTGGCTGCTCGTGTAGCCCATTCCATAAACGGCGTTCTCTGCAGAGTAAGGCACGATGCGATACGAATGCAGCTCTTCATAATAGAGCGACTGGGAACAGCACTCCTGCACCATAAATTTCAGCCGTTTTCGTGCGTCAGAGTAAGCAGTCCTATAACATGGAGCCTCCTTAAAGTATTCATAGCTCTCCCTCTCTGTCTCTAGGTGAATCTTCCTCAACAGATTGTTAATTAATACAGACCTACGGAGATAGGCTTCAGGGTCATCCAGGAATCGGAGTTTCTGGAGAGAAAGTTTTAGAATACAAGTCCGGTCCTCGGGTAGTATCAGGTGCTGGGGAGGAAAGCGCAAGCAAATGGGTCTTTAGCATCGAGGAATGAAACCAGGGGAGGATGGGGTCTGGAATGAGTGAGTTACTCACTTTTGGACAATACTCATGGTAATCTTGATGTAAATGTTCTTCTTCTGCATATTTTCTCTTAAAGTAGGCTACTTTCGACGTCGTTAATGTCTTTGGTAGGCCCCGATCAGATCAGCTCTGCACAAAAGAAGAAGAAAAAGAGTCTCAGTAACGCTTGCTGCCATGGTGGCTGTAATGTCACGGTCCGGGGTGTGTAGGGGAAGGAGGGGTCCAGAGGTGGTACGCAGCCAGGACCACACTCAGCCTCCACCTGCAGCCCTCAACCCACTGGAAAAATAATTGAGAGGCTGGCAAATGTGAAGGCATCTCTGAGCCGGCACCCTGAGGCTTGTCAGCACAGCAAGCCCTGCTCCGGAGTGACAACCACAGCACTGGACACAGGTTGCCACTGCCGGGCAGGGTCTCCAAGGTCCTACAACCAAGCAGGGTACCCCTGGCCAACCACGGCCTCGCAGAGCAGGGCGAGAGAGATGCCCAAGCCGGGAAGGTCTCCAGGCACTGCAGAAGGGACCGGGATGAGGCCACTCATCTGCAGAACAGGGGTCCCTCTGCTACACTGGAGTGTGTGAGGGATAAGGATGGGTTTTAATTTCCACACATCACGCACAGAGCTTCGTGGTTTCCCTGGAAAACCAATACAGAGCATATTCACTAGATGGTAGTGTCGTCACGGAGAAGCAAGACAGCCCCAGCTCGGTGAGAGGGTGATGGAGCTGGTTTGTTCTCTGGGTTGCTTCAGTTTTTCAGGGCACAGAGGACGGAGGCTCAGCCCTGGGGCTAAGAGAAATGACTACTGGGCTTTTGTCCTGTGACAAGAGCCCAGTGGAGGTCTGCTGCCCCAGAGCAGAGCCCTGCAGAGGACCAGGGCTCTCCGCACAACCACAGCCAGGCTTTGCTGGGTGCTTGGAGCTCGCTTATCTCTATGGAAAGATGGCATGGTGCTCATTCAGCATCTTAATGAGACCTGTAACTTCGCTAGTACACAGTCTGGTGAACACTGGGTCCCTGTGAGAGCCAGGACTGAGTTTTGCTTTTCTGTTCACTATGCAATACAAGTAGGCATGTGCACTTGCGAGTGGCATCATCACCTCCCAAACCCTCTCTTTTGTAAGAAATTTCTATTGTTTGCTTTTAAATGCACTAAGTCAACTGGAGCCACTTTTGAGAGTAACCCTAAGTCAGGTCCTATGGGATACGTTTTCTTCCCCAAATTGAGATCTTCTCATGGGGGCACTTGAAAGTTAGGTTTTCTGAGGAAATAAAGGACTTAATTCTGGACTGCTTCTCTGCCACAGCAGAAAAGCCAAAATGTACTGCGTTGCCAAAACACAGACCTCATGTCACTGGAATGATCCCGCCACGGGACATGGGGGGCTCCTTCAGGCTTAGCTGCAGGTGGGAGTGAAAAGATACCCACACAACTATTTCAGGGACTGGTGGCATCTCTCCTTCACTGTCAGGAAAGAGTTACGTGCCCTCCCTTCCTTCCTCTACATCAAAAATCCACAAGAAGGGGCTGAAGAAGAAATCTACTCATAAGAGAGCCTTCTTGTGCTTTCTCCCCGAATTTCAAGTCTGTGAGGATGGAGGTTTCCCATAAAGGATGTTATAAATCTGAGCAGAGAACTCTTGACTGGTGGATTAACAACCCATTTGGAGCCAAGACCCACAACCCTGCTCTGGGACTTGGCCTGATACGGATTGCACGAAACAGCAGCATTTCCCCAGGAGAGGGACCATCACTCTTGCAGTGGGACAACGCTACGTTTTAGTCATCCTGGAGCACCGTACACGCCAGAGATGCTCCCTGCACCAACCTCAGCTCTCAAGGGCAAGGATATGGCTGTGGTCTGTTAGGGCTGAGTAGCTGCAAACACTGGTTTAAATTCATACGTGGCAACCTTCACTGCTTGTAGGTTTTATTCTAGCATTTGAATTGCACCAGAGCCTGGACATCCTGGACTTTTAATTACTCTCATATTAGGTTCTCCTAGGTGAAAACCCCACTGCTGTGTTACCTGAGTGCAACCACAAATGCATTTATCCTCCCAGCGCCGTAGGATGGGAGAATGTTACCGTTCTTCTCACACTACTCTGAGGAAGACAAAGGTACAGAAAGATGAAGTGACATTCCTGCAGCCACCCAGGCCATCCGAGCTGGGAAAGGAGCCAAACCTAGCATACAGGTTGATGAGCCAACCATGGGCCCATCCTTCCCCTTCAAACCAAGCCTCTCAATGCTAAAACTTGCTCCCTAGTGGTTTTCAATGAAAAGGCTGGAAGCACAGACCTAGCACTGCCTGCATGCAGCAGAAGCAGAAAATCAGCCCAAGTGCAGGAGCAAGACAGACACCCAGAGCATGCAGAGCATTGCGGTTTGGTCCTTCAGCTCCACCAGCTCCGCACAAACCCCTCCTTTGCTGCTCCCAGCCACAGGAATTCCTCTCCCTGTCCCAGAGATGAAGGGTGACAGTGGGACATTCAGCACCCCCTGAGCATGAGTGGTCCTGGAGACACCAGGAAAGAGCAGGAAGCCAGGAGAAGGCAAGGAGCCACTGGAGCACTGGCACCCTCACCCTGGGAGGGAGGGAGGGAGGGAGGGAGGGCTGTGTTTTAGCACGTGCCACAGGCTAGAGGCTGATGCTGGCTGGCAGAACCAGATGGAAAGAATTATATTTTGCAGAGGGACACATATGATCATCCTGGCAGCGGGTTCATCGAGCACCCAACTAGCACCCCCTTTCTGGAGTTACATTTAGCACCAGCCTGGGACATACCCCTTGTGTGCAAAGTGGTCAGCTGTATTTAAATTCCTAAAGACCTTACATCAGACAAAGCAGCAAAGTTATGATGACCCCCCATAACTCGGTTTAGCAGCAAGGAAGGGAAGCAACCAGCAAATGAACACCAAGAGCATCTCTGGGCTGTAAGGCTGGTTTTAAATGTGTTCCTACTTGTAAGTGAAAGGCTAAACTCTAACAGCAAAGTAGCCATAGGCTGCTCGACACCACACTAGCTGCTAGCAAATTCCAAATCTGCAGGGCTTGGGGTACCCACTTCCCCAGCCCAGCAGCTCCCATGGGTTGTCACGGGTGGCTCAACTTCTACCTCCTCTCTCCGGGAGGGAAGGGGTGCTGCCTGCACGTCTGCAGCAACAGGAAGAGAAAGTGATCCGAAGGTGAGTCCCATCACAGGGCGGCTCCACAGAAGCTCAAGGTCTGCTCTTGTGCTCTGTGTAACTGCCATCCCGTCACCACCCGTCTTGTCGTCATCGTCATCTTTTCCGGCTGTTGGTGATGTCCACACATCTCTCTGCAGGTTCAGGGGAATAAGAGCATGAACTGTGCCCTTGCACTCTGCCCTCGACACCAGCACCGATGCTAAAGCCTAGGAGGGACACCTCTCCCTGTAGGAGGTTTGCAAGTACCAAGCCTTTCTCTCATACTTAGCTTGAAAGTCAGAGCAGACCAGTTCTGTGCGTGCCTAAGGGCTGCTTGGCTGAGGTTACAGGCATACAAGGCTGTAGTAATGCCGCAGTGAATCAGACCCTTAGTGTTTTGTTTAAATATAAACATATTGAATCAGTGCTTTTTGTGTAGAAGGCTATTCTCGCAAGCCAAGTGTTTTGACAGTTACAGCAAGGTGGTATGAGTCACTGCCTCTGCCTCAGTCAAGCTCAGAGACAGATACATCTTAATCACATTACATTTTTTTTCAGCGCTACACCACAAGTCAAGGCACGGGGCCAAATTTCCCCACGGGGACTAACCAGTGTAGCGCTGAGTCCTCAGTGTGAGGTTTGTCCTTCCAGCCTGGATGAACCTCGGAAAAAGCACATTCAGCATCCCACCAGTGTTCAGCTGCAAGCCCTCTGCTAGTCACCAAGGACTCGGTAAAATTTGCAAGAGCGGGCAGAGCTGCCAGGGCTCGGGATCCACCGGGCAGGCACTGCCTGCTCATCCTGGCCAGTGTTTACACCCCGCCGGTGCATGCCTGCTCTGAATGCACGGCACATCGGAGCACGGCAGCTGTAGTTGCCATTAACGCTAATGGAAGTTTGAAACATAAATCCCACACACGGCAGCGAGGGAATAGACGTCTCTGTCTCAAGCCCGGATCTCTCAAACGCAGCTTCGCGAGGGCTTTAATTGTACTTTCAAAAGAGCAAAATGTGCCTGTTCCAATTTATTTCTCCAGGAATAATGACAGTGCTCTATGGCATGGTACCCACAGAGTTATTAGGCATGTTTGGATAGAGGGTTATCTTATCTAAATTGGGTTGGAGACAGATTTATAACACAGCAACTTCACAGTTGAACTGCAAATTGCAAGAAATTCTCTTCATCTGGCTCATGCGCTCCCGCATCACCCCAGCGACAAGAGCCCCTCTTTGGCATGAATTAGTGCTGGGTGATTTCCACAGGGCTGCGAGCTAGCCCAGACAGGAGGTAAGACGGAGTTTAACAAATGATTGAACAGCCAGGGGGGGGGAAAAAAAAAAAAAAAATGCAGCTTGTGCTTTTCCATCTCAGGCAATGGAGAGGGATCTGCAAACCCCAGATCTGCACAGCAGCTCTGCCCCAGAGCTCGTACGTGAGACCTTGGGAGCGTTCCCACACCTGTCTGTGCCTCCACCTCTCCTACCTTTCCTCAGGAACAAAATTCATCCCTGCCTGCTCGGTGCTGCAGTGAAAAGGGTTGACAAGCAGGTACTACAGGCTTATTGATGCAGACATCTGCAGGGGGTAAGCACAGGAGCTCGCTGGCCAAGCCAGACCTGCCGACACTGTGTGCAGAAGGTGGCCAGTCAAATGTGCCGGCGCCCTGCAGGGTTCCCTATCGCAGCATAAGGGAGGATAATCAATACGTAAGCTAAAACTGGCTGAGATGGAAACCATTTCTGAGCATCTCTTGCATGCACAAATAGAAAACCTGAGGCTTCTGAGCACACAGAAGTTGGCATTTATTATCAGCAGGGTATTTGACATGGTAGGAAATATCATCATGTCCTTGCGACTGCTGTCAAATTGCAGCGATAAATTCCCCCGTCTCTAACCTCAGCAGCACTTGCAATTAGGGAGTGCTCAGCTGAAACCTTCCTCTGATTTCACATGCTATGCTGCTGCATTTCCCCTCTTCAGGGGCAGAAAAAGTAGCTGGTCCCACCGTGGGATTCCCAGTTAATAATGCAAAGCTACCAGACCACAGGCAGGTGAACATGTGGTTCGAAAACATGTACCAGCCCCAGGATTTCACACAGACTGCCAATCGATTGCAGTCCTTCCAGAGTACCGAGTCTTATTCCTCGCTTAGGCAGAGAGAGCCCCCTTTAACTGACCCGGGGAAAGGTGAGGACCCACAGCCATGCTGCTGTCTGCTGGCTTTGCACTTTAAAACTGCCTTTCTTTTAGTCTGATAATTGCTTTGCAGATCTCCCTAACTGCAGATTCTCCCTGGGCACACGTGTGTGCAAGGCACACGCATCTGAAGCTCTCATGAGGGCATGAAGACACAAGACTTAACGATTGAGTGACTATTCCTGTCTCGCTCCTTGTAGTCCCACTGCTTTTTTCAATAGAATAAAATCATATTTCCAGCTTCAACTCCTTTCCACACTAATCCAAGTAATTCCCCGTGCCTCTGAAGGCATACCCAACAAGCTGAAGTCTGTAAACTTGTTAGTTACCTGAGGATGCGGAGTCAATCTGCAAATGGTCTTTCTGGGGTAATTTCAGCAGTTCTGGTAAGATTTCCTCCTCGCACGGGCTCAGCGAGCATTTCTGGCAGCACGGCACTGCTGAACGGTTACCTGCCGTGGTGGATCAAGGAGAAACACATGCGGTTCAGGTGGTAAAGTCAGGACATACACGGCAAGTAGCTGGACCGCAAGGGAAGAAAGTGCTATTTCAGCAGCCCCACAGGGCTTAATAACAGGAAAAATGAGAGTTCTGATGTCACATCCAGTTCTCTAACTTTGACCTTGCTTCCTGGACTCCCTTTCAAACACTGGGAAAGTAAAATAAAACATTAAGAAAAATCTTTTCAGACTCTCAGTGGTATAGCTGTAATCCTCTCAGAGCAAATGCCGCAAAAATACAGCTTGCTCTTCTAAATATCCGGAAGTTTCCTGAGCTAGAACATGATTACTGCCCTGAACGCCGTCTCTTAAAATGGCACTTTATTTTCTCCATTAATTCTTGTCAGCCTTGGAGGAAAGCTAAAGGGTGACTATTTAAACCACACCATTATTTTGAGTAGTAGCATTCACTTCCTATCATACACACCCACACTGCCTGCAGGGTAATACAGGTCTGGGAAAAGTCAGATTACCATTTTTATTTAACAGAATTATTGCAGCATGTATATTTCAGTGTTTGCTTTCCATACGGTACGGTTTCTAGGCTGCAAGTAGATACAGCAGCATCCAGCTGATGCTTTGCCTCCTTGGGGGAGTATTTGACATGCTGTAGTAAGAATATTTCCCACTCTGGGGGAAAAATGATCACAGATATGTATATGCATACCCAAACTCTGCACTTTTACATGTATGTGCAGAAACACTCACACTTTGTATGTACATGAATGAAAATAAACAGGTCTAAATCCTGCGGGAGAGAAAGAAAAGGAGAGCATGTATGTGTGCATACTCACGTCTCACAGCTATAAGACAACTATATTTAGACGGTTATCTCATCCCAGAGGATGATACTTCATTAACAGGCGATGAAAGAGTAGCTATGGTTACTTTTCAGAGTTCAGCTTTGACCATAAAATGACGACTCTGATTAAAATGACCTTTCGTCGAGCACGCTAGAGTCCGGCAGAGCAGCAGGCACCTCTGCCCACAGCGCGCAGCACTGCAGGACGAGCGGCAAGCCTCCCTCTCGGCTCTTTGCCCTCTTCCACGATGCAGCAAAGCCGAGAGCTCACAAACAAATACAAAACTTACTCCACGCCAACAGCCACCTGCTCAAGCCCTTTGGGCAGATCCCACCAGCAAAGCCCCATGCCAGCTCGCTGCCACAGACAACCCCACGGCTCCCTGTCCCCAGCCACTGCCCGCTCAATGGCACTCACCCGGTGAGCCCCGGCTCCAGAGGGAGGGCTGCTCCCCGTCCTTCCCTCGCTGCCCGGAGCTGCCTGCTGCTCCTGGAGGAGGAGGTGGTGGCGGCGGTGGCGGTGGTGGCAGTGGCGGTGGTGGTGGCGGTGG